GGTAAAAATATCTTGAGTTCCATTTTGGTCAGGTCGTCTCATTTCTCATCTGAGCACTGTTCAAGCCGGACATGGTGAGGACAAGCCCTTTCCGGCTCTCCTTTTGTCCATAGAATCCAAAGATCATTTCGTTTTCGAGCTAATGTTAACATTGTTCCTGCATTTTCATCCCAAGATTTCTCTCAATACTCGGTCGATGCACACAATAGAAAGGGGGAGCGAGAGAGATGTAGAGAGTTTTTTCGGCTTACCAAGTGTGAAAGGGACGATATAGAGCAATGCCGGTTGGCCATGTCCATCCATTAGGTTTAGAGCCACGTAAGTAATCAAAAGACCTGCGATTTTCAAATGGTTGAATGATTGTGAATGACGGAGAAAATGAAGATATAGAAGATTCGTGGGATTACGCGTGAACTTACCTAATCCGTAGGCAAGCATTGCCCAGATAAAATAGCCGGTTCGAAGAGTCTTGTTAGCTAACCAGTCGTATCTGCACAATCAAGTGTTTGGAAAAGCTTGCAAATTGGTGAAAGGAAACTATGTATATATGATACGAGAGAGTGAAAAGCTTTTGAACCTGAGAGCAAATGCGATTAGCAAACCGGGCAAAAGAATATCACCGAATCCAATAATGCTGTAGCCTCCCCACGGATCAAACATGCGCGGAATCTTCAGTAGCATCGGGATACCATCTTCTCCGCTCTTATCACCACGAGCTACCTGCAAAGAAGAAAGAAGCAGCATTGCATTTTATGGAACTTATGAGGTGAGCCGAAGATTTCTATAAACGAGGTTTGAGTTTGGGCATTGATTGATTTGTTACTTACGACTATCATTACGCTTTCGTGGAACAACTTCTTGGAGACAAACACCCAGAAGATATCGTACAAGAAGGCACAACTGAGAAGAACCGTTCCGACCTGTTCCAAGTGATATATGGCATTATTTTTCACATACTTCCAATAAAGTTTTGTAAACTTAAAGATGGAAAGATTGAGATGAGATATAAATAGTTTAATAAATTACCTTAAGATTTGGGACATGAACAATCTGTAGTACTGTGATGATCAATGCGATACCCTAGTCAATAGAACAACGATGTTTAATACCATCTGACGG